TTTATATTTATTTGAAATGCATAAGTGGGAGGGAAGGAGGGGAGAGAGAGAAAAAGGGAGACGGAAGAAGAAAAAGTGCAGAGAGAGAGAGGGAGAGAAGGAGGGAGGGAGAGAGATTTTCCATTTGCTGGTTCATTCCCCAAATGCCCGCAAAAGCCAGGGCTGGGCCATATTGAAGCCAAAAGCCTGGAACTCCAAACAGGTCTCTTATGTGGGTAGCAGGGACCCAAGTATTTCAACCATCATCTACTGCCTACCAGAGAGTATATTAACAGGAAATTTGATCAGAAGTGGAAAAGAGACTCAAACTTTGTCACTGCAATATGGGATGCAGGCATCCCAAACGGCTTCTTAACTACTGCATCACAATGCCTGCTCCTGCACTTTTTTTAACCGATTAATTATGCTGACTCTTCCTCTTAGCCCTCCTTTGCAATAATTTTAATGTTCATATTATATATTCAATTGTTTTGCATTTTAGAGACACTTAAGTCAACCCAGGCATGAGGAAAAGTGATTCAGTAAGAATTTCTTTAAAAATGATTTGGTTGTATTTTTAAATTTCAGTATAGAACTAGTCTCCCTTTGTATCTACTTCTCCAGTTCTTTAATTAAACACAATTTGGTTATAGTATTCTGACTTAGGATTTGGATTATTCTTATTTGTGCAACCAAATAGCATATCAAACTGAAGCATACTTTTTCTCATGTTTTTCAGAGTTAATCTGTGGTTGTAATATACGTATTTTCTGGGAACCTAAATGAGTGAGATACGTTGAGAGGAGCACCAAAAGATGCTGAGGCAGAATCAAGATTGTCCCCACTAGGCGGGGATATAAGGCCAGGGATGTTGGTCTCTTGTCTGCTGCTGTGACTGCTCTGCATAGAGCAGTGTCTGTGACATAGTTCCTGCCCAATAAATATTTACTGAATGAGTGGATGTGTTGAAAGTTCATCCAAAAAAAAAAAACAGTCTGAATTTTGTTATGCCACCTAGTTAAAACCTTTGAAAACTGTGTGAGTCAAATAAAGCACATTTCTGAAGCTGCCTGTTTTACCAGTTTGTGACTTTCAACATTGTATTTCCTGTCATTTATCATCAGCACTGATCCTTTTGCCTCTTAAAATTCTGTTTGGATCCCAAGGAGAGGTCTCCACTTTACACTTCTGGAATTATCTCCACCTAAGAGATGAATGCAAACATTTAAAACAAACTAATTTTAGCTATATCTTGGCTTTGCATCTTTTTAAGAAGTTTTCTTCGATCAAGAGTTTTTAAAAAATAGCAGTATCTGGACTCTTTTGAGCGTCTGAGAAGTCTGGCTGATCCCTGAAGATCTAGATTCACATACATGTTTCTCTTGGAGCTTTGATTGGTTCCTGGCTGGAAGGTTTCTCTCTGTGATGTTTAGGGGAATGCCATACCATTGAGTACTCAAGGATTTATTGCTTCATGTTGTTATCAGTTTACTTCCAGTTAGAACTGATACTTCTTTTCTCTCCTGCATACTTAGTTTCTTTGGTGTGTGTGTGTGTGTGTGTGTGTGTGTGAGTGTATTATAATCAATACATTTATTTTTTAAAAATTTTATTTAAGGTAAACAAATTTCATGTATTTCATATCTACAGATTTAGGAACATAGTGATACTTCCCTCTCACCCCTCCCTCCCACTCATACTGCCATCCTTCCTCCTCCTTCCTCTCCTATTCTTTCCCTTAATTTTTAAAAAAATATTTATTATTTATTTGAAAGGTAGATTTACAGAGAGGCAGAGGCAGAGTAAGAGAAAGAGAGGTCTTCCATTCACTGGTTCACTCCCTGGATGGCTGCAATGGCCAGAGCTGCTCCAATCTGAAGCCAGGATCCAGGAGCTTCTTCTGGGTCTCCCAGGTGGGTGTAGGGGCCCAAATACTTGGGTCACCTTCCACTGTTTTCCCAGGTGCATTATCAGGGAGCTGGATTGGAAGTGGGACTTGAACTGGCGCCCATATGGGATGCTGGCACTGCAGACAGTGGCTTCACCTACTATGCCACAGCGCCAACCTCTTCCTCAATTTTTATAATGATCTACTCAGTCTAATTTATACTCATAAGATTAACCCTACACTAAGTAAAGTGTTCAACAAATAGTAAGAAGAAAAACAACACTGTTCTCATCAGAAGAGACAAGGGCAGTAAGCAATCCTTGAATATCAAAATGTCAATTTCACTTCTACATTGCAATTTTGGTTTCCTATTAGTTACCAAAGATCAGGGAAAACATATAGTATTTGTCTTTTTGGGACTGACTTATTTCACTAATAGTTTCCAGTTGCATTCATTTTGTTGCAAAAGTCAGGTTTTCTTTCTTTTTTATGGCTGAGTAGTATTCCATAGTGTGTGTGTGTGTGTGTGTGTGTGTGTGTGTGTATATATATATACACTATTATTTCTTTATCCAGTCATCAGTTGATGGAAATATGGATTGTTTCCATATTTTAGCTATTATGATTTGAGCTCTAATAAATGTGGGAGTACAGATAACTCTTTCATATGCTGATTTAATTTCCCTTGATAAGTTTATTCTTTAGTTCTGTTTTTTTTTCTTCTTTTGGAAGACTGAGTCTGTTTTTCTTGATGAATTTCAGTGAGTGAAGTCTCAAGGCTAATAGATTTTTTTTAAAGATCTTATTTATTTATTTGAGAAGCAGAGTCACTGTGCAACTACTCCCCATGTAGGATCTCTGTCCTTAATGTGTTGTACTATGCGAATTAATGGTAAAACTGCTACTCAAACAGTACTTTATACATTGTGTTTCTGTGTGGGTGCAAACTGTTGAAATCTTTACTTAGCATATACTAAGTTTATCTTTGTATATAAAGATAATTAAAAATTAATCAATGTCTCTCTGTCTCTCTCTCTCACTGTCCACTCTGCCTGTCAAAAAAAAAAATAATCTTAATGAAGAATGGGATGGGAGAGGGAGTAGGAGGTAGGATGGTTTAGGGATGAGAGGGCAGGTATGAGGTGAAGAACTGCTATAATCCAAAAGTTGTACTTTCAAAATTTATATTAAAGTTTTCTATAAAAAACAAAGTAAAAATTCAATTATAGAAAAGAACTTATGTTGTAAAAATCTTGAGTTTTGATAATATTTTGTGTTATTTAATTGTTGATTCATTTTCTGAATTTTTTCTGTGTTCTTTCCAGTTACTTTTTGTGCAAGGAAAACTTTTTTTTTCTGTAATTCTTTATAGTCTTGTCTTTGAATCAAACATGAATGCATTTCAGAATTACCTAAGTAGAGTTTCAGAATATTTCATCCTATTTTTTATTTTTTATTTTTTTATTTTTTGACAGGCAGAGTGGACAGTGAGAGAGAGACAGAGAGAAAGGTCTTCCTTTGCCATTGGTTCACCCTCCAATGGCTGCCGCAGCCGGCACGCTGCGGCCGGTACACCGCGCTGATCGGATGGCAGGAGCCAGGTACTTCTCCTGGTCTCCCATGGGGTGCAGGGCCCAAGCACCTGGGCCATCCTCCACTGCCTTCCCGGGCCACAGCAGAGAGCTGGCCTGGAAGAGGGGCAACCGGGACAAAATTCGGCGCCCCGACCGGGACTAGAACATGGTGTGCCAGCGCCGCAAGGCGGAGGATTAGCCTAGTGAGCCACGGCGCTGGCCCCCCTATTTTTTAAATATTTATTTTATTTATTTGAAAGGCAGGGTAACAGAGGGAGAGACAAAGGGAGTAAGAGGTCTTTCATTTGTTAGTTCCACTCCCCATATGGCCACAATGAGAAGGCAGTGCCAGTTGTAAAGTAGGAGCCAGGGACTCTATCATGGTCTCCCACATGGCTGGCAGGGTCTTATTACTTTGACCATCATCTGCTGCTTTCCCAGGTGCACTAACAGAGAGATGGATTGGAAGTGGAGCAGCTGGAAGCCAAACCAGCACTCTCATAAGGGAGCCAGCATTGCAAGCGGTGGCTTAGCCTGTGCACCACAATGCCAACACCCAAGCACCCTGTTTTTCTGATGATTTTATGTAGATGTTTACTTTGAAGGAAGACCTAAAATTTTATTCTAAAATAATACTGGATTCCAAAGAATATTTTCAATTAATGACATTTGGTATGCAGTAAGTTATATCACCTCTTCTGATTTTTATTGATACAGAAATATTTATAGACTTATATTTTTTAAAGATTTATTTTTTATTTATTTGAAAGACAGAGTTACAGAGAGAAGTAGAGACAGAGAGAGAGGTCTTCCATCCACTGGTTCACTCCCCAGATGGCCGCAATGGCTGGCGCTGCGCCGATCCAAAGCCAGGAGCCAGGAGCTTCTTCCGGGTCTCCCATGTGGGTGCAGGGGCCCAAGGACTTGGGCCATCTTCTACTGCTTTCTCAAGGCCACAGCAGATACCTGGATCGGAAGTGGAGCAGTCGGGACTAGAACCGGTGGGGATGCCAGTGCTTCAGGCCAGGGCTTTAACCCACTGCACCACAGTGCCGGCCACTATAGACTTATTAATCACTAATCTATATCTAGTCCCAGATGTCATTTTGTCATAAAGACTTATTTTATTATTCTGATTTAAATTAAATCAAAAAATCATTTGCAGACTCAATATTTTCTTTGTACATGCAGTGCCAAGAAAACACTGAAAACTGATTGACCTTCTTTGTAGAAAACAGGGTAATTCCACACCCTGGCCCCTGGAAGTTTGCCACTTTGTTAAATCAAAAGACTGCCATTAGGCTATTTACTTCAGGATTTTTACTTTCCATGATGGAACTTAGTTAAAGAGGCTATAGATGCATCTAGCAATCGACATGAACAAAGAGCATGGGCGGTTCTGCATGCTTTTGTGGCCTACCGTGGGCAGCTGAATTCATTGGGCTGAGCTGATCCTGTTCAGTTAGCTGTGAATGTCTATATGAGTGAGGCTGTCAGTTTGAAATGTCTCATAATGTTTCACAGTTACAGATTAATAGTTAATATTATTATTTCCAGGAGCTGGTGATGATACACGAACATGGGGGCCACCTTTTGTGGGAACAGAAAGTACATATTTTCTCAGTGTTAATCGAAATAAGAAAGTAAGAATAACTTTCCATTTTTTTTCCTTTGTGTGATTCTCTTGTAATAATAAAAATATCATTATGTCTTCTTTCTTTCTTTGTAGATGTAACTAATATTTAAAACAAATTTAATTTCATGTTCTTATTTTTTACCAAATGGAAACAACAGAGCTCTTTACTAATTTCCCTTTTCTACTAAGTAATTTAAAACATTTTGTAAGAATTTATAATGAAAATAATTTTAAGAAAGAGAAAAATCATTAGATTCTTTACATCTATTATTCTTTTAGAAAATGTGAATTGTGTAACACTTGGTATTATTACTGGAAAACATTTACTGTAAGGCTTCCTATTCTAATCTAACCTAGTTGCAAACAAAATCAGTAAAGATAAATAATTCTTCATCAGGAAAATAGATTTGCTTTAAGAGGAGAATCTATGATATGAATGACTCCCTTGTTGAACTGTCAGTAATAAGAAAAACCTTCAGGACAATATTTTAAGATATATTTGTTTTGATTTTCAGAGTATAGCTGTTAATATCAAGGATCCAAAAGGGGTGAAAATCATCAAAGAGGTACAGTATGCTCTATGGACAGCATCTAACAACCTAGGTTGTAGTTAGGAGTTTGAACATCAGAGCCAGTGTTTTAAAACTTCACTTTATTGACAATCTGTACTTTTGCTCTAAGTGCCACTTAAAAATTTTGACTTGGGGTAGGTATTTGGCATAACAGGTAAGACTCTTGTTAAGATGTCAGTAAAGACACCCAAGTCTTATATCCGAGTACCAGGTTTGATACCTGGCTGTGGCTCCTGATTCTATCTTCCTGCTAATGCAGATCCTGAGAGGCACCTGGTGATGGTTAAAGCAATTGGGCCCTTGCCACCTACGTGGGAGACCTAGGTTGAATTTCCAGCTCCTTGGTTCAGCTCTTGCGTAGCCCTAGCAAACTCTGGGCATTTGGGGAGTGAACCAGCAGATGGAAGTGTGCTCGCTCTCTCTTTCTCTCCTTCTGGCCATCTCTTTGCCTTTCAAATAATATTTAAAAATTTGTCTTTTATAGTAAGTAAATGGGCTTTTAATTCCTTGTATATTATATATAATTATTAATAGTAGCTAATATTGACTGAATGCTAACTCTACATCACATCCCTGGTTTGAACACTTAACTTAAATATCTTCTTTAATTCTAAGAATTTGCCTTGTAAGTGAAGTTTTACAATCTCCATTTTCACGGAAGGGAATTGATTCTCATGGAATTTAGGTGGTACTCTGAAGATTATGTAACTAGGATTAAATGAAATTAAATTTGACTTAAAGCTGCTTCTGTATATAGCAAGATGTATCCTAATTTAATAGCATATTCTTTTTAAAAAAAGATTTATTTGAAAGTCAGAGCTACAGAGTTTCAGGGAGAGACAGAGAAAGGGAGATCTTCCATCCACTGGTTTGCTCTTCAGATGGCTGCAAGGAGCCAAGAGGTTCATCTGGATCTCCCATGTGGGTGCAGGGGTCCAAATACTTGGGCCATCTTTTGCAGCTTTCTCAGGCTATTAGCAGGGTGCTGGATCAGAAGTGGAGCAGCCAGGATTCGAATTGGCACTCATATAGAATGCCAGCTTACAAGCAGTGGCTTTATCTGTTATGCCAGGACACAGGCATGATAGTAGATTCTTGTTAAAAATAACTGATTCTCAGCCAATCATAGCAGCGAAGTCTAAGCCAATCATAGCCTGCCAATTGACCATACCATGTCCAAATGAAACACATGCTAATTGTAAAGCAATCATGCTGTTTTTGAGTTCCACTTCTTTTTTTCTGTGTATATAAATATTGCCTGTCCATTAACTGAGTGGACTCTCAGAACCACTCCTAGTTCTGAGTGCTCCCTGATCAGTCTGTGATCAAATACATATTGCTAAATTTATTGTGTAAGTTTTTCTTTTAATTTTAATAAGGGGGAAAAACTGACATTTGGATCTTGTTTCATATCACTGGAGAGCCCCAGCTTTTCCTAACACTTACTTAGATGGCTAATATGTCTAGATCTGATCTCAGCTTCTTTCTTGGAGGGGCAGGATGCATACCTTTTTACTATCTGTTTACCTTCTTTGGGCCTCAGTTTTTCTCATCACTGAAGTGGGGATAAAAGTAGTACCTACATTAGGATTGTTGTGAGAATTGAGCAGAGTGCCTGCTACATAGTCAGTACTCATTAAGTATTAGCTATTATTATTTCCTGATGCACATAAAGTTATATTCATCCTGTGAGATAAAACTCACTTGCCATCCTTTTTAAAGTTTACCATCTAATTTAGTGGGTATATATTCATTTGGTTAGAAAACCAGGACTCAAATTTTCTTGCTCACCAAAGTGTCAACTTGGTCTGTTGCTAATATTTTTTCCCTACCTGGATGATCAAAATATAATTAAAAAAAATTTTAAGGTGAGAATTAGGTCATTCTCTTTGATTTTGCTGAATGAATCCAGCAATCTAGATTTTGTTTACTAGATAGATTTTGAAGCCAAAACTTGAAAATTGTCATTTTTATACTACCCTATTTTCCTGTATATTTTATTTAGTATATTATGTTTGCTTTTTTTTGTATTCACTTGAAACTCAGTTTGATTTTCTAAATTCTTGTACATTAGTGTTGGCCCACTCTGTTTTGCTCTAGTTGCTACCCTCAGCTTTCTCTTTCCTCCTCTTCTTTCCTTCCCCTTCTCCTTCTTGTTATTATCATTGAGGAATATGTTTTTTTTTTAATTTTTTAATTTATTTATTTTTTGACAGGCAGAGTGGACAGTGAGAGAGAGAGACAGAGAGAAAGGTCTTCCTTTTGCCGTTGGTTCACCCTCCAACGGCTGCCGCGGCCAGCACGCTGCGGCCCGGCGCACCACGCTGATCCGATGGCAGGAGCCAGGTACTTATCCTGGTCTCCCATGGGGTGCAGGGCCCAAGCACTTGGGCCATCCTCCGCTGCACTCCCTGGCCACAGCAGAGAGCTGGCCTGGAAGAGGGGCAACCGGGACAGAATCCAGCGCCCCGACCGGGACTAGAACCCGGTGTGCTGGCTCCGCAAGGCGGAGGATTAGCCTACTGAGCTGCGGTGCCGGCTTGAGGAATATGTTTTCCCTTGATTCTTTTCTGTGTTTCTTTGTTCCTTCTTCATTGTTCATAGTGCTACTTCTTTGCTTCTATTTGAGAACTTTCTGGTATTTTATCTTGGGAAGTGAAGTCAAGGTTTCAAATTTGATGGAACAAATACTTGAGGTTTTCATTAGGGCTTCTAAATTGGGTAGTGTTAGGTAGAACTCAAAACTGTTGTTTCTAAGGCATCAATGTACATATGAATATTTTAGACCCACATGTGTAATTCTGACCAAAATAAATCATTGCTGGTTTTTTCTTCCCACTCTCCTTGGATTATGTGATGTCCTCTACCAGACTGTAATCATTTAAAATTAAGTTTCATTATGGGATTGAAGTCTGATTGATAACAATGAAGTACATTTCAACTCATATTAAATTTAAACAGAGTATCTGGAAACATTATTTATGTCTGTTGCATTTAGCAAGTTATACCATTCGTCAGCTATGTATCTTACTGCCTAGAGGAAGGCTTATTTTTTTTCCTTATTTTTTTAATATTCTTTCTGGAAGGGATTTCTGTTTTGGCCTTAAGAGAAGAAAAACAATCTCTGCATTCAGACCTTTGTGGCTATGATTGCTAATATAATGAGTCTAGTTTATAGTAATGGTTCCAAAGTATTATACAAGGCAATCAGCTGGATACATGAGAGCTCCAAAAAGTATGACTCCTTTGTCAGCTACTAACCAAAACCAGGTTGTGTAAAGAGCAAAACTATGTTTTGAAAATCTGTGTGGAGCCTGGTATTTACAAGGAAATATGACTTGATAATTTTCAAATATGTCATCCTATATGTCAAAGAATTTTCTGTGCTAACTCATTCTCTATGTTAATTAGTCATAATATCCTTATTATCGGCCTGCATTACAGTCAGCAAAACATTGCTATGGGTTATTTTCCTACAATATTTAATTATGAAAAATTCAAATATATTGCAAAATTGAAAGAATAGTTATCAAAACTCATTTACAATATGTGTATATGAAATAACTTTAGCATTGTGTTGTATTTGCCTATTTACATACATATACATATGTGTGTTTGAACTATTTGAAAGTGGGTGGAAAATATGAAATTTTGTCCTTAAATCTTTTGGAATACATTGTCTATGAATAAAGACATACTTTGAAAATTATTAAAAATATTTCATAAATGTGGTTAAATTATCCCCATTACTTTCCCTTGATGACTTAGTCTGTTTCTAAATTATGTCAGATGACAAGCTCAGATTAGGGATTATAAAATTCAGATTGATTTTTAGATGTTATTAGCCCTGTGACTGGAAGGAATATTTTTTTCCTTTTCTTTTTTTTTTTTTTCTTGACAGGCAGAGTGGACAGTGAGAGAGAGACAGAGAGAAAGGTCTTCCTTTTGCCGTTGGTTCGCCCTCCAGTGGCTGCTGCGGCTGGCACATTGCGCTGATCCGAAGCCAGGAGTTAAATGCTTCTCCTGGTCTCCCATAGGGTGCAGGGCCCAAGCACTTGGGCCATCCTCCACTGCACTCCCGGGCCACAGCAGAGAGCTGGCCTGGAAGAGGGGCAACCGGGACAGAATCTGGCGCCCCGACCGGGACTAGAACCCGGTGTGCTGGTGCCGCAAGGCGGAGGATTAGCCTATTGAGCCGCGGCGCCGGCCTCAATTTCTACCCTTATTATAAAACTCTAGCTATAAGGCTGGCGCCGTGGCTCAGTAGGCTAATCCTCCACCTGAGGTGCTGGCACTCCGGGTTCTAGTCTCGGTTGGGGCACTGGATTCTGTCCCGGTTGCCCCTCTTCCAGGCCAGCTCTCTGCTGTGGCCAGGAAGTGCAGTGGAGGATGGCCCAAGTACTTGGGCCCTGCACCGCATGGGAGACTAGGAGAAGCACCTGGCTCCTAGTTTCGGATCAGCGCAGTGCGCCTGCCGCTGTGTGCCATTGAGGGGTGAACCAATGGAAAAAAGGAAGACCTTTCTCTCTGTCTCTCTCTCTCTCACTGTCTACTCTGCCTGTCTAAAACAAAAACAAAAACAAAACAAAACACCTCTAGCTATAAATCTGACATTAAACCAGAGATTGTTAAGTCCACCTTAAGGGGGGGCTATAACAAGCACTGATTACCCATAAACCAAGTTGAAAAACAAGTTCAACAAGTTATAAAGCAATATTTTTAAAGGAATTGATCTTCCTAGATTCAAAAGAGAAATCTCTTTAAACCCAATGTCCATTTAACAGTTAAACCAAATTCTCATGCATGAGATTGTTATTTACCAAAGACAGCTTTTTAAATTCTAATTGAATTTGAGTCTGTTTTTCTCTTTACCCCCCAAAAATCCACTTTAGGCTAGTGATGACTAGTCAGCAGTCAGCTACTTGGGAGTGTATCTGAAACAAAAAGTTCAGCAGTTACAAGATGTGTTTCAAAGATGACTGTAGGCTAGGGGC